GCATTAATAGGCACAGTGGATTCTGTTCCCACGAACAAAGTAGAAAACATAAAGCAAGTGTTCAACCCATCGAGATTTCAATGGTAAATGTATATCTCAGAATAGCATGAACCACCACCTTATTGAAATTCTGTACTTTCTGGTGATGAACCACCCCACCACAGAAGAAGGCACATCCAAGCACCAAAAGCATATTGGACAATATGGAACCCAGTAATGACTGCTGAACGACCCTTATCATCCCATTCTTCAATGCATATATCGAAATTATCATCTCTGTAGCATTGCCAAAGGTTGCGTTTAGGAGGCCCCCCACTGCAGTTTCAACAAAAAAAGTATTGATGATAAAGTGAAATCTACTAATCTAAGCCCCTGTTTGGGCTCCATTGTAGAGGAGGAAAAAAAACTTATTTTTCTCTCTCATTTTCAAACACACTCTCCAATAAAATGAAATTGCATGTAAACCCAAAACTTTTCCTTACTTTTCAACCGCACATTCTTCAAAAAAATTACTATTACAAAGTACATTTTCTCCAAAGTTGTATTATAATGGAGCTCAAACAGGGGATAAATAAAATCATCTCTTTGCGATCATAGTGAGGTGAAAGTGCGTGTCGATAAAAGTATGTATAATCATCCTACTGGAAGTTTTTTGTGCAAACATTGGAAACATATGGAAAAATTAGGAGACGTGTTCGTAACGAAAATTCTGACACAAATCGATTTCCAGCATACATCAAACATTCATGTTCCCAACTCCAGCTGAAAAGATATTTCAAAAGTCAAACTACATTCGATTTAGTGAATAAGAGACGAACACAGCCCAATAAGTAATCGATATAATCTAGCAACAAGAGACAATCCAACATCCTTTTTATCTCATTGAAAATGAATCATTTGGCATCTCTTAGAATGATATCTTAGCAGAGACTTTTGACAATCTCATTTTTCATCTTCTCTATGTGAAGTGAGTCAAATTGATTGAACGAGAAATGAAGAAAAGAAAGGTGACCAACTCCTCCTCCCTGTTTCCTTGCTTAGAGAAAAGCTAGACAATAATCAGTACAAAAGAAGTTGGATAGAGCCAGGTGAGGTTCTTATTTACAAACCCTTATGACCTCTTAGGCCACCATTTAGCTGCCAAGAGTGGGGACAGGGAGCTCAGTCCCCAACTTGTCCACCAAACAACTTTGCCTCCACCAAATTATGTTCACCATCTAGGGGCAAAAGTATGCAACTTGCAATGCATCTCCAATATTGCATCTACTGCAACATCTCTAGAAATACTTCGAAAAATAAAGTTTTCTGCATATCCTCCAAGCTTTTCTTCAAAGAAGTACGGATTCGGATACGTAATTCGAATATGATATGATAATTATACGCTGATAGAACTTTTTAAAAAAATATCAGGATATCCTTAATTGTCCCAACTTCATTGTCTTCAACATCACCAACATCAGCTTCTTCATTATCATTAAAAATAACTCTTCAATTCTAACTCATCTAATGATGGATTAACAATCTGAAGAAACCTAACACATTTAAGAGTATAAAATATATAAAATGAGTATGCGGCAATGTCCACACTTTAAATTGTCCTTTTGAATAAAGCTTTAATTTTCCTAATAAAAGACATAGACTATTGTGAATGAAAGTCAATTTATTAAATATATAGTGGAGTATTATAAATTAATGTTTAATTTATTAACACACTTTTATGTGTATTAAACCATTATCTATTTTCAATAATAAAAATATATTTGTCAACAATTAACATGATTTTACAGGTATTAAAAAATTTAACATTATTGTGTATTTCCAATAAAAAGCTTTAATTGTCAAACAATTTAAAACTCTAGGTGTATTTCCAATAAATATTTTCTATTTTTAAATAAGTTATTGATAATAGCAATAGCTATCTATTAAGTAAAAAGAATTGTAAATAATAATGAATTTTAAAAGAGTTTAAACCAATTAAATTCTTCTTCACGTGTCCTAACGTATCCAATACATATCAAAAATAATTAAAAAATGCATATCCGATACATATAGAAAATTGAACAAATATAAAATAAAGAAAAAACATGTATTTGGTATGTATCAAAGAGTATTCAAGCTTGGATACATAAGGAGTTTACAAGTATCTATGCTTCTTAACTTTTCTTCATGTGGGACTCACTTTATATGAACAGGGGATACACACAACTTTGCTACTATTTGAGTCTTGGATCTGTCAGTGTAACTACATACACCAATAAAATAGAATCACCATCAAAACCCTCATCCCTGAACCAAAAAATGAACAGGTTTATTGCCCCTCTGAATCCATTGCCAAAATTGATTAGTTGATGAAAGCTGCTGAGCCTAAAAGATTTATAAAAGAAAAATACAATGCTGCTTTTCTTACAAAAGTGCTCTGAAAGTATAACTTGTTACATCCACCTGAAGCTTTCTTCCACCAGTTCTGTGATGGACCATTTCAAGTTGCCGGAGCAGCAATAAATATACTTGTTAAATACCAATAACATCCTCCAAAGATATGCTCAGGAATCAACAATTATGTGAACTCCTCATTTGATACAACTTTTAAGCCCTGATGAATATATAGTGATTTCCTCAATCCTACCTCCACCAACAATAGTGCAATATAAGTAGGTTGCTTAGCTTCGAAAAAAATCCACCACAGGTACTCTAATGAATTCTATACCTGTGCTAATCTTCACCATCAAAATACTCTTCAAATTCTCGTACCACCTTCATCTTTTCCTTTCTCAAGAGAATTAATAAATTTTCCAACCATTATGCTTTATTAAGCCTTGATATAGCTGGAGGAAAAAGATCAACACCTTCTCACACCTTTGAGTAGCAATATTCCCAAAAATACAGTTGGCAAGGAACCCTCACAAATGCATTTCGGTCTAAAGTTTGAAAATCTATCAACCATAAGCACCATATACACCATAGGATGGCAGTTCATGGGGAAATTAACGTAGATATAGAGGGTGTTTGGTGGGAATTAAAATTAGAATTTTTTAATAGATTGTGATAGAAGTATTTTTAAATGTGTGATTAAAAAGTTGTAGGACCCATGAAAGATGTGGTTATTATTGATTCTTTGATTTTAACTTAGACTAAAATCGGATTTCAATCCGAACCAAACAAGCTGATAATACATTAATTCTTTCAAGCAATATTTTCCTCATGATATTGTAATGTCAAAAGCTGTTCACAGTCTAAGGGGGAGACTTTGAGCATCAATGGGCCACTTTGAGGGTGAATTTACAACTTTAAATGAATAAGGAATATAAATGTAGATAACACTACCTGTAGGCCCCGTAAAAAGCAAGCTGTCTGCAACAGAATGGTAAGCACAGGAATATTAGTTCATTTAAAGGAGAAAAGAAAATGAAAAATGTCATGCAAAAGCATAAACTCCACTTTGAACACTCACTCAGTCACATAACCCAGACGCTCTGCCAAAGGAGTAATGCCCACTAAGCTAAAGAAGAAGACAAGTCCCTAAAATAAACAATGTCGAAACGTTACACATACTGGTGTTAAGAGGGACTTTATCAAAAACTTTTCAGCATAACAATTTGCCTAATGAATAGAACAGAGAAATAAAATTACCAGGAGAATTTTATAGTCCTTACATGTTTCTTGCTAAGATAGTGCAGCATTATTGCAATGGGCCCAAATGGAAGCAAAACGTTTATCTTTGCTTTGATTAAGACGATATAGATACTCTTAAGCAGACTGATCTGCATCTTTCTTAAGCCCGATAAAGAGGAAACTTTTGAGGGTGAAATGACATGGTTTGCCTCAAAATTGAAAGATTGCTTTTTATTTGTTGGCTGAGTTGAGTTAAATGGGATCTCATCATCAGATCCAAGGTCGACCTTTTCCTCGATGGATTCCATATCGACAAACCCAGGCAATTCCCCTGATAAACTGAAAATTGTACAACACATTTAAACACAATTTCTCCTAATATATGAGGCCATCAAATAGATCCACTCAACTCAATTTAATGATATAAAATGCTTGACCATATAGATTAGAGTATCACTTCAACTGTAAAGAAAATTCGAAATCAATCAGCCCATCAGACAACAAAGATTCAACCTTAAAACTAATTTGTGATCTTAAAAGTTCATAAAGCCCCTACTCGAAAACAGGAATACTGAGATCCAAACCAGAACTAATATAAACTTTACTAGCATTAAGATTTGAAAAATGACCGTAGTGTCAAAATTGATAGTAATGGAGAAATGCGAAACTCTTTCCCAATCGAAGTCCAACATAGTCAACAAAGAAATAAAAATTTATAACAAGCAAATGCCCCAGATCAATTCAAAAAAACAACTAAAGTTACAGAAAATTCATATCGAACAGTAAAACCAAGCATTTGATAACTGCCATTAAAGAAGCATAAAATACAACGTATACACACAAACTCAGATCAAAGATTCTTGCAAACAGAATTTACAGGAACCAAGAAAAATATAAAAGAGAGTAGCAGTTAACATGTTGAAAGCTCTACCTTTCTGAAGTGAATAAAGATTCTTGCTTTTAACTGATCCAGAATTTTGAACCCACCAAATTATTAAAAGTTATATTAAGATAAATTTCTTGATATACATGTACGCATAGACAGTAGTGGAAGAAGTATAAAGGAAGGGACGTTTGTTTCAACAGATTTGGAGATAAGTCTGTGTTCCTGAGGTTGGATGGGTGAATACTGAATAAAATCCCAATGAAGGGGGCCGGACTGGGCAATGATTTTGGTGAAATAGCCTTTGACCAATATAAAAGGGGAGAAAAAAAATCAAAATAGTTTAATTAATAAAATGATCAAATTATCCTTCACATTTTAACACAAAAATCTTTCCATATTCCCTCTTTTCACCTCGTTTCTTCCTCAGGTAAAACCCTATTCCCCCAATTCAAAAATTAACGTCTCTCTTCTCTTCCCCTTTGAGAAAATCTCACACAAAATCCACTACAAACCTCACGAAATCAACCTGGCAAAAGAGCACGACGAGCATAGGCGAGCGAAGTGACCCCCCTGCCGCCTCGAAGACTTTGTTTTGGAACTACGAGTTTGTGGAAATTCCTCTCTTGCTACTGCGGCTGTGAAGGTGAACACAAATTTAAGGTACAGGTTCTATAATGTGAGGAGATTTATGTATTATGTTGAGAAATGAAAGTGGTTGCCTTTGAAATGGTAGCTTTTATTTTTTTGAGAAAAAAGGGGGGGTTTGTGGCTGGTGGCGGAGGGGATGCATGAGGTCCCTTTTGAACTCCACTATTGCAATGTTTCATTTGTGTTATGAAATTGTTATCTTCTAAATATTTAGGAACAAGGTAACAATAATTTTGTCATTTATGCACGTGATTCTCAACTGTTTTACTCATTAAGTTTTAATCTTTCTTCTATAATGTGGAGTATGTCCCTTCCTCATTTTTTACTCCATAGTTTTTTAGCATTAACATAACCAACCCTTGTGATGATTTGATTTAAAAATCACTAATTAGTACAAGACCAGATGAAAATGAATAAGGAAGAAAACTCCACTAGAGTTTGTCGTCTCCAATTTGATAATTAGGATTGGTTATGGAAGTCAAATCGTTGGACCTGGGGATTTGATCAAAAGGGTTTTAACTTTAGACATGATTACATGTTAATCATAAAATTAATCTTTACACATGTAAAAATGTTGTGCATAATTCGAGTATATAAAGAACAAAAATTGTACATAATTGATATGAGATGTCAAAATGATTCTAGAAATGTCAAATTTTGTCACTTTGGTCGTAACAGTAGTAGTGGGTAGTATTTGTGACTTTTATATGAGTTGGCCCCATGCTTTACTTTACTGTATTTATCTAATTTCGAATAAATGAACCGATAACGTTTGACATTTGGTTCTTTTGTGTGTTAGTAGTCATGTATATAGAACACTATCTAAAGCAATTTATATATCAAATCATTGATATTAACTTGTAAATCATTTTTTGCATAGTGCACTATAGAGTTGTGACACATTTAAGGTATTAGTTTGAGGTTGAATTGACAATGTTTCATTGCTTTACTACAATTTTGTGTTGCCTTGGAGCTTTCTATGTGTAGTCGTGAAATAGCTTGTAAGTCGTTATTTTTGTCCAATAATTTGGTAAATGATTGCTTTGAGAAATAAGATTGCTAACTCAATTATTGTTTTGCATTTTGCAATAGGAAAAATGGATGATGAAGACATAGTGAACGTGAAGATAAGTAATAGATGTAGAATGAAATTGATCGATGAAGTTTTCTATAGCTTAGATGAAAAGCATCAGGACCTATTAACCAATTCCTGCTTTGGACATTTGTTATGCCTAAGAAAGATAAAACTTGCATCCCAATTAGTCCACCAATTGATTCTGAGGTCAATAAGTACCTCAAAAGAAAATGAAGTATTTATTAAGGTTGGAGACAAGCTTGCAAGATTTGGATTGCAAGAATTCACACTGGTGACTGGGCTTAAAGCGGGGGATTTGGAGAACAAGGATCCGAAGCTAGAGCAAAATTGTAGACTCGTGAAAGAGCGTTTTAAGCGTAGCAACGGCAAAATAAAGAGAGGTTTATTGTTACAAGTTTTCAAACGCTGCAAGCATAAGAATGATAAATATAAGTTGGCCTCCTCGTCATATTGATGTACGTGGTTTTGGCAGCAGAGGAGAATACATTTGTTAACCCATGGTTGTTTTATTTGGTGGATGATCTCGATAGATTTAACAACTATTCATGGGGGAGAAAGTCATACGAGTACACTATTAAGGTTTTTAAACGTAATTTGGGAGACATGTTGAAGGGTTATACAACTTCTCAGCGATATCCGTATTCTCTGCATGGATTTCCATTTGCAATCATGGTAATATGTTCTAAAATCATTTAAAC